CCTAACTGCAGACAATGCTGCCTTTTTGAGCATGTAGCAAAAAGTAAAAAAAAAGTAAATTATGTCTAGAATTGATTTTTAAATTAATAATTACTGCTTGTATTCAGATTACAGTCACTGGAGTAGGAAATTGCATTCCCCACCCAACAAAAACACAAGGCAAGGTTCCATTTTTTTTTAATTTGTACTAAATTTGATGATTTGTGTCAAAAGACAGGGTTTTTTTATCATTGTATGTGGTTTTCTGTAGATTCATTTGCTCATCTTTGTCCCTCATCCTGCCATTTCTTTTACCATACATCCAGAGGCACAGTGAAATTCATGGGAGTAGTCAAAAGTAACTCCACACTATGCAGATTCCTCACCAAAATAAAACTCCACTAGAAGGAAACATAACCAAGAAGTAAGTGTATATTCCATGCAGTTGCGGTAGAGAGTACAAGGGCAAGACCAACCACCCAATAAAGACTAAAGTAGTGCTATAAAATAAAAAATGAATACACTCTTTTCAAAAATCAATTGAAATAGATGACTCAAAATTATTGTGCATGTTGATTTGATATATAAAGTTGTTTGTTAATATGCAAGCAATTATAACATGAAATTGGTATATCAAATATGGATTTATGATGGCATTTATCTGCCCACCTCAAATGGAATATGGCACAAAACTGAGTTTCAAGTTGGAACTACACTAATACATGGAACAAAGGACAAAAATTGCTCAAGCTCACTTGGTAGTTTCCCTCAGTACTGATCTAAGCTCTCCTCCTTTGGAGGAAAGATGTCCCCTTGGAGCTGAGCATAATAATGATTGCAATGCATCCACTCAAATGGAATATTACATAAGACCAAGTTTAAAGTGGAAATACTGTATACATTAGAGACAAAAAAGTGTTCAAGCTCCTTTTGGAAAAGTCTCAGGTACCAGGGATTAACCCTAGCCCTTCCTCTTGTTAGAGGTACCACCTGAAACAGAGTTCAATAATACAAATAATAATTGTAAAATGCAAGTTTTTACCAGTTATTTCTACCAGAAATATTATTATATCTTAAACTGTATTCAACTTAATGGTTCTTGACAACTTCAAAAATGTCTAAACTTATTGAACGAGAAGTAATACCATTTTATGGAAGATAGAAATCTTTTTATGCCCAATACCAGCTATCATTGCTAGTTTCCAAATTAAAACAAAATTTGACATATAAATTCTTATTACAAATGAAAACATTAAAATAATCTTATAGTATAGTGTTGATACTACCTAGTAATAATTTTTGGAACTGGCTATTTTTAACAGTTAACTTAAAAAAATATATGCACTATTTAGCCATACTGAATACTAGTTAAATGGGCCAAACTGAAATATGTCTGACATCACAGCTTCACAATCAGTCAAAATGGTGTCCCCTTTTTTTATCCCTTTCAGTACTCAGCAGTTCATTCTATTTGCTTTATTGCTTTTAAAAGTAAGATTATGTATTTATTTTTATCACTTAACAAACAACTTAAACCTGATTGTTTAAAAGTAATTTGCTATTTTAGTAACGTGTTTGTTTCTTCCTCACTACTGCAAGTAACTGGTACAAGTAACAAGAGTGTGAGCTTGTTTGCTTCATTACTATGAATGGCTGCTGAGGTTAATTTTTGCACCCCTTATTGTCCTGTGTGAGTATTTTGGTATTCACTGACACCACATAAAGACTATACTATACTGTTCATTGATCCACTGAGTTTTCAACAGAAAAAAAAACTATCAATATTTGTATTATGAGCAGAAATGCAAAAATAAATTTTACATGTTTTATGTAGTTTTCTGAAAATTAAAGCAATCAGTATTAGAGCAAAATTTTAAATAGTGTACACTACAGGTGTATATTCTGCATTCACCCTATTTTAAAAAATCTGAAGGCCTATGATACAAGGTAAAGATGGATATTCAAATAAAATCAGAGGATATGTTCTTTTGAATACCATATGCATAGCGACTCTAGACGTGCAGAACACTTGAAATGTAGTAATGCGTGGAGACTCTTCTTGCTTGAGGAGGAGGAGACATTACTGATGAGGTAAGAAACAGACATTGGCTAATAAGAAGATGAATTAATAATCTGCACAGATACTACAATCAATTAACACACTGATTATCGACATTAAATAACCTGTGGAAATCAATAATCAGAAAGGAACAAGAGATGAACTTTAGATTTCGTAAACATGGTGAGAGGGGAGGGCGCGTGCAAAGTTCAACATGAGGTCACGAGTTCAGCGCAGGGGTCAGGAGAAGACAATCCCAAGAACACAAGAGACGCAAAAACAAAAAAGTAAAGTCTATGCGACTCTGTAAGTTACACGATCGAAATGTTTACGGTGAAAAATAACAAAGGAATTACTAATTAGTCTGAACAAACAGCTTGGAATTAATAAAATATTTTGTGATTTTTAAGACAAAAAAATCATATTGCATTGAAAATCAAAATATGCATAAAAAATATATCACCAATTCAATGGGACAATAATTTCACAAAATTCTGTCTTACAGCCACAACAAAGTTTAAACTTTTTAAAGGTAAAACAATTTTAAAAATTAGGACAGGATCCGACCAGAGAGACATCCGAATGTTATGAACATTTAAGTAATTTAAAAGATGAAAATAAATTTAATTTACTACTATTGTTTTTAATATTATTTACAAACAAGCTAATTTTGTCGGTAAAGTTAAGAAAATTCCAATTAATTTTCAAACTAAATCAAAATCTTTATGCTTTTTCTTTTTTGCTAAAATGAAGCAAAAAGTTTTCAACTAAAACAAAAACAAAATAATTTCAGCAGAGTATTAAGTTTTAACTAAATTTTCTAACTAGTTGCCACTTTAAAATTACTGTATCAACCAAGTTACATTTACGGAAGAAAAGAAGAGGGGTCTATTATTTTTTTTGTATATAAAAAAAAGCGCCAAACTGAGTTGAGGTAAATCTTTTGTAGAAAAATCAAAGGCCCTCCCTTTCTTACCTTTGACGTAAGTAGCAAACAGAGGACGGTGTTGCCGGTGCAGTTCAACAGCAGCTCCAACTCGGCACATGGGTTCGTGAATAGCAGGCATGGGGACTGCTCTAATGGAAAACAGTCTCAATAATGATGTGTTGTTAAAATCCTAGTTCGTTATGGTCTGCTGCTCAGCAGAGAAAAACAATAAAACTGTCCTTCTATTTCTTTTTTAAAACTTACGAACACTCGTCAAAGTATTACAGACAAGTGATGCAGGAGAGAAGACAGAAAATCACAAAAAAAAAAAAAAAATCAATGCAAAACACCAGTCAGTAGTAAATGTAAGTCCTCAGTGAATGAGCCAACTGAAGTTAGGCTTTTTTCATTTTCGTAAGCATTTTCATGTCTCTTCTGGTTCCAACAGTTACGTTCGAAGGTTGAAGCGAATTTAACCAAATCAGAAAATGACGAAGCGATCGAGATGTTTGTTGGTCCGGCTCTAAAGAAAAGTAATCAACAAGTGCTAGGAACAAAGAGTGATAAACTTCTCATCGTGTTTATGCATGTTTCAAAAACTCAAAAATTGACTTAATTGTGCGACAGATCGGTGAAAAAAAAAGTATTAAATAAATTTACTGCTTTAAATTGGAAAGAATAAATAAAATCGTCTTTATGCGTAAACAAAACAAAAAGCAACTAAGACGATTGTTCGAGTGATAATCATTGTGACAACTTTAGTCTAAAAAGTTATCACTGATGGATCTGTTCGAAATGAGGCCTGTTGGTCGTTTTTCAAGATGTCATACGGTGGGGGATCAGCTGTTTGTTCGGGTCGTGGCACAAACATGCCTAGACATGTCGTCGGGCGGAAGTCATAAATAAAAGGTACTCGTTTGGTTATATGAACGGTGCCTCATTCTCCTATCCACACGGCCAATCCAATTGGACGTAGTAAACAGTAGTTAATTACTACTCATTTAAAGACAAAATTCAATCGATAATTCCTTTATTCAAAGTCGGAGAGATCTCGTGGTTTTATTATGTCCAAGGGTAGTCAACTTGTACGCGTGTATCGTGCGTTCTAAATTCGAAAAATTAAAAAAACTTAAACCTTGATTTAAAAACAAAAAACGTCAAAAAATATATTCTGCTGACTGGACGAATGACCACGCGTTTTTCCTTTACTTGTTGATGTATTAAAAAAAAATATAGCAAACTGTTTTGGCGAGAATTAAATCACGCGGTAAATTAAATTCAAGAGAGTTCTAGATCCTTTTTGGGGGGGTTAATAAAAATCCAAAAATATTTGGAAAAAAAGTTTTCTTTGGTGTTGTTTAAACCGCCGTTTTTGCACTTGACACAAAGAAAGATGGAAATACTTAAAAAAAATCGAATATTTTTGTGTTTATTTTTTTTTTAATTTACTTTTTCACACCTTGTGGCAGGTGTAAGTGTTGTGTGGAACAAAATGGGGTATGTAATTCAAACTCAGTTATTTGTTTTAAGTTTTCGAATTTGGAAGACAATCGATACGATAGTCTTTGGAATGCACACTATCTTGCGACCATAATTTGGGACGTTAATCTCAATTAGATCTGCTAAAAATTCCTGTTCTTTTATTTTTAACTCAGTATCTATTCGAAAGTAAGTGTGTATCACTTCCAATTTCAATAGAGATTTTTTATAATATACACGATATATAAAAATACATGGTATAACAAAAAAAAAACTGATTAAAAAGTTTTACAAGTCTGCAAATACAAAACAGAATAACAAACTGACAAAAAGGTGATGAAGAAAAAGAAATGTGTGAACACGGATACTACTACTCACTCCATAACTCACTACTTACTATTTGTACTGATAACCAGACAGATAAGATAACATGTGCAACGCACTCATTCTAATTACGATTTAATTAAATATTATTTCATTATAATTAATTTAAAATAATTTTTGATTTAGTTGAATCTTTGTGCAGTTAACTTTCAATTCGTGAAAAATACTTACAAAAAAAGTTACATCCCACTCCTAATCCAGCAACTTTGTATATTTCGCCTTCTCTTATTTTCCGATAGAAGTCACAGAAGAGTTCCAAACGTTAATTATTTTGCATTAATCTTTGTTCTAATATTTTTCTTGAAATGCGATCATTAAAAATGAACCATTTTTTTTTGCTCTTGATGTAGATTTGTATAAAAACGACTAAAAGATTAAAAATCTTATTTCTTTACTTGGATTTATTTTTTTAGGTATTGGCGCACTAATACATTCTAAAAAGTAAATACTTTTCGCCTCCTTAAACAAGAAAGTTCTCTTAGTTTTTTGTGCAAGCTAAATGATTTTTAAGTCTGACAAATTTTCAAATATTTGTATGATTAGATTAGTAGTATTTTTATAAATTATGACGGGTACTTTTTTTTTTTCAAATGTAAATAACTAAGGTATGTTCGCTTTTATTTTCTTCTGATTTAAACGCCAACATCGAATCATTGAAAATTTAATCACAAAATTCTTTGATTCACATATACCAACATTTTCTATTCATCTTATTCTTCCACAAAAATCTGATTTCAAGTAATTTTTGGTGGCCAACTAATGAATGAATAAATTGCTTTTCGTTTTAGAGAAGTTTTAAGTCTTTTTTTTTTCCTGAATATCAAACTTTGTAACAATTTTCTAATTCGTGTTGTGCCTGTGCACTCATTTTCTTTTAAAAGTTAAGTTAATTCTTTAACTGAAATAATTTTGAAAACTGTTTCTCCCAACCCATTCATAAATTCTTTTTTTTTATTTTATTTATTTTTTGATAGAATTAGTAGTTACTTACTTTTCCATTTTCAAGTTGTGACTCGGTTGAATGTTTAAAAGAAAAAAACTTTTTAAAAGCTACTAAAAATTCTTTCTCCCTCAGCAGCATATATTTTTCTCATAAAACAGGAAACGTTTTTCTTTTTAACATCAAACTAAAAACTAAATAAAACTGTATGGTAAAAAAAAATATTACCCTAAGGAACGTTACGTAATAATTCTCTTCAATTTTTTGCTTTGAGAAATTATTTTCTAAGTAAGTTGTGTTTGTACCCGTCAAAAGGAATTTTCGTTATCTGACAAAGTCATTATTATTAATAAACATTTATTTTCTTTCTAAATTCAATTTTTTTTTTAGTCAGAATGTAACAGATTGTGTCAGCTGCCAATGTTCTTTTTATTTTAACGGACGAGAAAACCTTTATTTTCTTTCTTTCTTTCTTTTTTACTCAAGCTTTCAGTTTTTTACAGTACAGTGCACTGCACACGTAGCTATATTACAAGCAAAGTTTATATAGGCACTTGCACAGCTGTAAGTTTGCTGTAACTTTTCTGACAGGCCTTATCATTTCTACCACAAATCTTCATTGATTGCGGATTTGGACCAAATTCACTCTTGTTTTTCTAAACTGAAATCACCTTTTTAAATTTTATTAAATACAGTCGACATGATTACTCATTAATGGAGACAATGTGTAAATGCAGAATTTATATTGCTAGCAGCTTCAGCTCTCTTACTTTGAAGTTTGAACTTATGTGAAAAATCATGTATTGTAATGGCTTTCTTTACCCATAAAAAAGTACAAAAATTTAATAATATAATAAAATGCATTGTAATTGCAATTGATTAAACAAATAATTTTTATAAAGATAAAATATTAAAAAATTAATTATCAAATTAAAAAATATCAAGTTTAAAGCAAAATCAGTGATTTTCATGTTGGTATAAGATTTTGTTTATTATAGATTTAAATCTAGGGATAAGATGGGTATATTATGCATGTAGCAAATTAATCCATATTTTCAAAAGTGTTTTTAATAATAAAGGATAACATTGTTCAATATTAGTAACAATATGAATAAACCTTGGACATTTGATTTTTTTAAGTTCTCGTATATTACAATATACGAGAACTTAAAAAAATCAAATGTCCAAGGTTTGTGTTCATTGTGTTTTGTTTTAAAAGCCTTTAGGAATGTAAAGCCAGGTTTGATTAGCTATTTTGTCAGATTATCAATATTAGAAGAATTATGCAGGAAGAATTTAGCCAAATACTTCTGACAACATGTTCTATAACTATTATTCCTTTTAAGTGTCACAAATCATAAATGGGAATAAAAACTCTTGAACACATTTTGGTCAGATTAAACAAAGGTTAAACTGCAGAATTGTTTCATTATTTACAAAGATGTCAAATGTTTTCATTAAAAAGAGATAAAGTTCTTAATAAACATCATAGTTCATGGATCCATATTCTACAATTATTATCCAACTTTTTTTTCACAAAACAAAACACTACTTAACCATAGTACAAAAAAAAGAAAATTTGTGTATGTGCATATTGATTTTGTCCCTATTCTTTTAACTGTTTTACTTGAGCTGATTGTATATTTTAAATGAAATATAAGTATTTAAGGTAACTGTGTTTATTTGTTATTGTATTCAAATGTCATCCTTTTACTTATTGAGTTGACATTTTTCCATATATTTCATTCATTTATGTAAACAATACTTTTATTTTCTTTTGTTAATTATTATTTAAAACCTTGAAAATATTCACTTTTTGAATCTCCTTGTACCTAAAATATTACACCATCCTTCACCACTAAATGCTATTTGCAGCCAATCCTTTGAAAATCTTTTCTTCTTTTGTTACAGTATTTGATTTAGAGTTATGCTAGGTGTTGTCATATTAAGGGTGTTGGTTTCACCTTTTATCTAGCACTTTACTTAAGTGGGGACATTTTCTTAAGTAGATCTAGGTTAATGTAAAAAGAAACTGAACAAATGTTAATATGAGGAACAGAATAAGGGATATCAGATTAAACTTTCTTTTGTTAACATTTAATTATCATTTTCTGTTTCCATACATACTTTACTTTAATACTCAATAAGATTGTTATGGTAACATAATTACAATTGATTTGATTTTTGTTTTTGTTATTCAAAATTTAAAAGTTGTAAACCTTGTTCTGATTGAAATAAAAACAAAATATCAGTCTGATAGTAAGACTACATATACAAATAGCTAAAGGATTTTTGTGATGAGTGTTTCACAATTTATTCATCTTTCATATCCTATTTGAAATAATCTTTGACAAATATAAAATTAGCAAACAAAATCTTTTAGAGTTATATTCCACAAAAAAAAGACACTTGATAGCTTTGAATGGTTTTATATAAGAATCATTATGCATTTCTATGGTTTTAACTTTTTTTGCAACCATCTAGATAAATAAAATGCAGTGAATTGATTTAAAGTTATGACAGGTGTTTCTAGGTAAAGTTGGAGATAAACTGTCATTTCACATTTTAACTAAATTAAAATATTTCCTCAATTCTGAAAATAGCTGTCATCTTTTTCTACTGAAAACTATATTGTTTTATAAAACAACATGCTAACAGCATATCAAAGAATGCTGGATGCTGCTTAAAATGCACTTTTCACATTTCCATTCTGTTGATTTTATTTTTTTCCACTTGATCTGGGTGATGTGAAAAGCTGGTCCAACCCCAGCATGACAGGTGATAACTGCTGGTTCCTACAATCCTGTACTATCAGTTGAAGAATTGGCAATTAAGCTTTCTTCAAACCATACAACTGTTCATTATCATCTTCAACAACTTGAAAAATGGGTACCTCATGTATTGTCTGAAGTCAACCGCAAATCCTGAGCTGACATCTGCTTTTCTATTCATTCTCATGAACTCATCTTTCCCTTTTTGGATAGACTTGTGACTGGTAATGAAAAATGGATTTTTATTAAAATGTTAAACATCATAGACAGTGGTTGGTAATGGGGAAAAGGCACAAGCACACCTGAGAAGGGAACTTCATGTGCAGAAGGTTCTTCTCTCAGTTTGGTGGGATTGCAAAGAAATAATTCACTTTGAGTTGCTACCAACTAATGCAACAATCAATGCTCAAGTCTACTGTCAGCAATTAGAGCATCTGAACGTGGCTTTGAAGAAAAAAAGACTTATTTTAGTGAATCGAAAAGGAGATTGAACAACTTAGTTGGGAAAGAATTCCTCATCCACCTTATTCTCCTGATCTTGCTCCTTCAGACTATCATTTATTCCTTAGTTTACAGAAGCATTTGAATGGATTAACTCTCAAACACCATGAGGAGGTCAAAACTGACATTTCAGAGTTCTTTATTATTGGGATTAAAAAGCTGGTAAGCAGATGGAAGGAAGTCATAGATAATCGTGGGAAACTACATTGATGGGTGAATTTCAATAAAATGTAAGATTTGATCACTTGTTCTTTATTATCCAAAATCTGGACAGTACTTATGGGATGACCTGATTTTATATATATATATATATATATATATATATATATATACACATAAATGTGTGAGTATGTTAGTAGGATGCAGAGATATGTTACATAACAGTACTTTGAATACACTGGCAGTTCACTGTAACATATCTAGCCACAATTTCAACTTAAATGCCAGTGATTGGGGGAAGAAAGGATTCACTATGAGAGAATACATTGAGAGTGCACTGATCTCATATTTAGTATCACTGCTCATTACAAAAACAATAGCAGTACAATGTTCTTAGTGGCCTTAATGTAAAAAAATGCAAGGTTTTGTCCTTTCATTCTGACTGGAGGACACCAACCTAGCAAACAGACATTAACAGCTTTAATATAAAAAAAAAAAAAAAAAAACAGTTTTGTTTTACATTCTGACCTGTTGATGTCAACCAAGAATATGAAGGCAGAACACATTGTCGTTAAAAAAAGTTTTTCCACTCTTGTCTCATTTCTCTCTATATATATATACACACACACACACAGATATATATATATATATATATATATATATATATATATATATATATATATATAATGATTATCCAATTTTTCAGTCACCTTTCTAAAAACATCTGTTTGACCTTAAATGATCTCTTGCTGATCGATGTGTCGTTAATTTTTAAACAAACAAACAGTCACCTTTCTAACATGCAAAGAAAAACTGAAATTTGCTAACTGTTGAATTTTAAAGATTTTTTTCATAGAAAATTGTTATTGTTTCAAAAGTTTTGACATAAGTTTCTTTTTCTTTATATTTACACTATTGGATAAAATATAAGCTAAAGAAAAATTACAATATATTGGATAAAATATAAGCTAAAGAAAAATTACAATATACTGGATAAAATATAAGCTAAAGAAAAATTACAATATATTGGATAAAATATAAGCTAAAGAAAAATTACAATATACTGGATAAAATATAAGCTAAAGAAAAATTACAATATACTGGATAAAATATAAGCTAAAGAAAAATTACAATATATTGGATAAAAATATAAGAAAAATTACAATAATTGGAAAAGAAAAATTACAATATATTGGATAAAATATAAGCTAAAGAAAAATTACAATATACTGGATAAAATATAAGCTAAAGAAAAATTACAATATACTGGATAAAATATAAGCTAAAGAAAAATTACAATATATTGGATAAAATATAAGCTAAAGAAAAATTACAAGCTTATGTTTTCTAGTATAAAACAATGTCATGAGTTATTTGCTTAGTTATTCTTATTAAACTGAAATATTAAATATAAAATGCTCATAAGATATTATCACCTTGACATTTTTATTTGCTTAATACAAATGCACAATGTAGATTTTTTTAGTCTAATATATGGCCAAGAAGCATGGGATAGGAAGATTATGTTTTGTCAGTATTTCAAATGAAAGAAATATACAATTCTTTCAATCACAAACTAGGACCGTAAAAGATAGTGGTTTTTTTTTTCTCCCCCACATTTTTTATAA